GGCAGCCCACCATTTTCAATTGGCCCCCGAACCAAAAACGCATTAGATCACAAAAGTTGGCACCTCTGAATTTTTCGGAGTAGGGACGCGAATTCGACCCACTGGGTACAGGGGCCGGGTGCGGTGACTGGAAGGGAGTCATAAGGCGGGACCCTCCATCGGCCCAGGGATATCGGCCGGCGGCCCAGGCTTCGGCCGACGGAGAAGAAGGGGCCCGCCCAAGATGACGCCCCAGAGTCTAGAGCCTGCGGAGGAGCTGGAACAGCGCGCATAAACAGGACGACATAAGCTGTCGTCGGGGCGCTTGTTGTAGGGTTGCGGCCCGCAGCCGAACTTTCGACGTTACTCTATTGAGACACGTTTGCTACCTGTGTCGTCGAGGCATCTTTCGTGGCACCCTCTCGAATGTGTATGGAGGCACCAACGTTAGTCGAGAGGTGTCACACGGTATCGCTGTCGGTCTGAGCGGTTTGAGTCCTCGTGCTTGTGAAACCTAGGCTGTTTGAGAGGTGAGATAGCAGATAGATGGGTCCAGTGCGCGAGGAGAGCGAGAGAGAGCGCGCGCGCGTCTTACTCGGTGTGTGTGTTCAACCCCCCTGTGGTACCTCGCGAGGCCCCCACTGACTGCCCACACTCTTGCGCCCGCACATCCCACGCGACACGGGTCACGCTCACCGCACACCTCGGGCGCGCACACCCGGGCCGGGGCGCACACGAGAGTTGAGAGTATGAGACGCAGTAAGGTAAGGTAAGGTAAACGTCTCCACACACACAAAGTGGTGGGGCAAGGGGGGGCGACCCTCGCATCTCCACGCCCGGGACACACGGGCAGGAGCCCCACGGAGACGCAGTCGCAGAGCGTGGTCGACCCCGCCCGGCGCTGCATCTCAGTGCCGCATCGATCGTCGACGCGGCTCCTGTGACGCGCTGTGAGATCTGTGGGAAAATGCATTTTCAGCGTACGTATAGAAACAAGATTCAGACACACACACAAAACACATTTCCAGTACGTATAGCTCATGATGAGCACATGTGGAATGATGCCATCTAGGGACTCTGAGGCGAGGCTTGGGCTTCTCGCTACCCGAGCTCCCTCTGTGACGCTAGGTCTCTGGCGTGCGGCGAGCTCCAGGCTAAACCCAGTGGCGCTTGTGGAAGAGACGCGCGCTGCGGCGTCGCCGGAGCAACACGCGAGGCGGCTCACTTCTTCGCCTTTTTGAGCGGCCCCTTGCCCGCCTTGCCTTTGCCCTTGCCCTTGGCCGCCTCCGCCTCCTTTCTCTTGTTGGGGATGATCGTCGCCTTGCCGAAGAAGTCCTCCATCCGGTTCTGCCCGCTCTTGCCCTTGCACTTCTTGAGCCGCTCGATCGCCTTGAGGACGCGCTCCTCGCCAAACTGCTTCTCGTCGATGAGGTAGCTGCAGGGGGCGCAAGAGGTGCAGCGGGCGCAAGAGGTGAGGCCGCCAGGCCGCCGCGCCGCGACGAGCGGGAGCGGGTGCGGGTGCGGGAGCGGGAGCGGGAGCGGGAGCGGGTGGTGGTGGTGGTGGGGTGGGGCGGGGGGGAGGGGGCGCCTCTTGAGCCCCTCCACGTCGGGATCGCTCCACTTGAAGGCGGGCGTGGCGGACGTGTCGGCCACCTCGGGCTCGCGGAACATGCGGCGCGCCTCCTCGAAAGGGAAGGGGTCGGGGATCATCTCCTGCGGAGGCGCGGGACCGGGGAGGGTGAGGAAGGCCCTGGGGGCTGGCGGGGCGTGGCGGTGAGGAGGAGGGTGGGCGGAGTGTGAGTGTTTGGGGGGGGGGGGGGGGCCTGGGAGTTTGGCACCTCCTGCCACTGCTTCGGAGAGTTGCTTTTTTGGTCAAAGGCCCGAAGGATACCCCTCCAAAATGGCCTGGCCCCTTTCCTAAAGGCCGAAGCCCCTTGGAGGGGCCCCAATCCCCCTTAGAACCAAGTTTTGT